AGATTACATGACTTTTCTTGTTCTGTCTTGATCAATGTAAGTTTCATCCATGATTGCCTTGTATTTGAAATTATGGACAGCAGGCCCCTTTGCCTTGGCCTGCTGCTTCGTTGTTGTTTCCAATCTATCTTTGATCTTCCCATTTCCATTTGAGACTAGCCACACTTATGTATGATGTAACTAATTGTCTGTTTAGTTTTTAACAGCTTGGTTTTGATCTGAGGTCATTTGTTCTTAAAGCACAAGTTCACTATTTTACCAAGTTTCATTCAATAACCAATATGTTGTCATATGTTGCCATCATACTACCTTCTTCTGCCTGAGCACTCTTGTTTGGGTTGTAAGCTTTAAGAGCATCAAATAGCATGCTTAGAACTTATAGGCCATGTATGTATGAACTGAGCAATTTCCATCTGCATCCTTGATAGCTTGCCTTCTTTTTCATGTTATGTTTGCAATCCATGAACCATTCCCAATTACGTTGATCTATGACTGAGCCCTAAGTGTGCAATCTATCTGTTATCAAGATTATGACTTGTGTGCAATGTCTATTGGATGTGTGTGTACTCAGAACTAGTTTTGATTTCCATTATGCATCTCAATTGACCAATGTGCATTTGCAATCGTGTTTTTTATTAGAAGCATCATTTCACAATTTGGTTGTTACCATCTTCATCCTTGTTTAAAAACAACCATGTTAGGTTTAAATTTTGTCAAATTTGGAGTTGTTTTGATCAAGTTTGTTTCCCTCACGCATTTGGTTTTGTTGGTTTGTTTTTGGCCCAGAATTTCATCTTGTTTAGCCTTATCTATTTATGGGGTGGCTAAATACTTGGATGTATAGCCACCCCAGTGGTAGAAACTTGCACGCCTTATACCCCTTTACCTGCCTGACCTGATTTCGATCCTTGGTGATCAACTCTTTTGGTTATTTTATTTTCAATTATCATGTTTATCTTATGTTTCTTCCTTGCCTTTCCATTCACACGCTCGTGTTGTGGCCAGGTGGTTAGTGTTGGGTTTGTGAACCACAAGGGCGTGGGTTCAATCCCTTCCCATGCCATTTCTTTTTTATTACTTGTTTCATTTTATTTTATCTTCATAAATTTCAATGATTCATATCTTTCTCATGCTTTATCATTTTTAATCCGTTCTTTTTGCCAATTGTTCATTTTAATGTCTAAATTCATTTAATGGAATAAAATTTCAAATTGCTTGTTTTTACAATGCCTTTTTTCCCACTTGTTAGTTGGTTCAGTTTTAGGTCGTCACCTTGCATCTTGATGAATTTCTCTTGAACCATGCTTGACTTATCTTGTAATATTTATTTGTATGTGATTCCTATGTGTTCGTTAACATGTTAGGTTTGCCTTCCTTTGGTTGTCACCATGAATTTGTTGTTCTCTTCCTAAATATTAAACTTAAGTTGTTGTAACATGTCTTACATTCTTTTCGTATTTGATTGTCATCAATGCCTAAATGTTGTTACATTTGAACTTATAATATGATCATCTTAAGTTATGACTTACTTGCATGATTATTGTTTCCATGTTTGTTAATATGTCTCTGTTGCGGTGAAATTTTGATGTCAAGCTGTTGATTAACTTGAATCTTAATTCATTTACAACCGGTCTTTGATTTATCCGAAGGAAAGGTTAAAGAAAGGGGAAAACTTATATTGCATTGTGAACACAATGCGCGGAGAGATCTAAAGTTCGGGGGTTGGTTAAGTTTAGGGAATGTATTAGCATCCTAAACCTCTGTAGTACTCTACAGGAACCTCTTATTTTAAATATTTGTTATTGCTATGTTATCTGTTTAAGGTTATTGCTAAAGGGTTAAGAGAAAGACCTAAAGGGGTTAGTCCTAAGTATACTCGCCAAGACTCGCATCTTGTGCCTACGTATCCTGGGTAGGGGATGTAATTAGAGTATTCGTAGTTCCCCTCACAGAGGGAGATGGGGAACTTCTTGACTGTGGTAAAGGTTCCAGGGGGAAATAAACGTTCATAGGGAAGTGCTTATTTTGGAGTGCGGCGACTCCTATTTCTACGTTATAAGTTGAATTAAAAAGGGTGTAAGTAGGTATTCCACAATGGGAACCTACATGGAGTGCGACGACTCTTAATCCTAAGGCTAGGATAGAATGGTGGATGTCCACGGCGGAACGCCTAAATATGAGTACGACGACTCGGGTCCTAAGGCTAGGATAGGGTGAAGGTAAGATATTGACTCGATGGTCAAAATAGGACAACCTTTCCTTCGGAGGGGATTAAGCGAGATAATTGAAAGCGACACTCGAGCTAAATTTGAACAGAGGCATTAGGTTGATTTTAAGTCATAATGAATTTTGGGTTAGTTTTAAGGAAAATGATTTAAGTGTAATGGTGGAATTGAAGTTGAATTGAGAGATAATTATCTTTGATTTTGAAAAGGGTTTTAAAAAAAAAGGTTACAAATTAGCAAAAGGTTAATTAACTTGATTAGGATTTTAAAAGAAATTTTTTATTATTTAATTTTTTTATTTGTTGTTTTAAGTTAAGTCTAAATTAAAATTAAAATTATTTTTGTATTTTTTTTTACTATGAAAACTAAATTAACTAATTATATTTCTTTTTTTCTTTTATATTAATATTAAAAGGAGTCAAATTAACTACTTTAAATATGAAATTACATTATTGTATTTCTTTTGTTTTTTTTTTTGTTTGTTTTAATTAATAAAGTTAATAGTTAGTTTTTTTATCATATATTTTTCTTTCTCAAATCAAGTTAAAAAGGTTGGTTGTTAGTTGTGTTAGTGTTAGTTTATTATCATTAGTTATAACATGTTACAAAATGAATTATAGAAATAAATAAAAAAAGCAAGATTAAAAAACTAAAAAACTAAACAGCAAATGGGTTGGGCCGGTGGTGATGAACCCACCGGACCCAAACCGGTCCGGTCAACACAAAGGGGAAAAGGGTGGGTTTGAAACCCTAAATCACGGAAGAAACTCCGACGGCGCCCCCTTCTCAACCTTTCCTCCTTCTCTCCAATCTCTCGCTCTCTCTGCGATTTCTCTCTTTCCTTTTTCGTCTCTCCTTTCTTCTCCTCTCGATCTCCGTGTCGTCTCTCTTCTGTCTACCCTTGTTTCAAAATGTTACCTGACAAGAACAACAACAAAAAAATGAAAGGTCATAAGAGCAAAAGATATGATCATTACAGCTAAGAGTTATGAGGACGTCAGCGGTTCCGGGCTCGTGAAGATGGCGACGGTAGTTTTGAAGTGCCGGTTTGACTTTGATGGTGGCTTTCAGATGGGGCTTCACGACAGCGGTGATAATGTTGATTTGCCATTTTTGGACGGTAATTTCACAACAACGATGGTGTCGCGGAAGTACTCCTAGAAAAGATAAGCCCTAAAATTTCCACTTTTTGATTTTTTTGTGTATGTTGAGTGTTGTGTATCTCAAATCTGTATCAATTCCCCATTTTCTTGTGAAATTGCCCTCTTTTATAACCGGATTTTCAAAACCGCATTGAAGAAACAATTTTAAAGGCTTTCCATTTAAAACCGGACATGTCCGAAACCTGTTTATGATTTTCTTTAAATCTCAGAAATTTGTTTTTGGAACGATTTGATTGCTGTCCTCTTAACTGTATGTCGACTTGCTAAGGTTCAAACGTGATTACCCTGCTGTGAATGGGTGATTTAAGTCTTTCCTTTTAAAACTGGATATGTCAAATTGTGTCTGCTGCACCTTGAAAACGCATTTCTCTTTAATCTGACATATTTGTGAATGTTGTCTTGTTTTGGAAAGATTGAATTCGTTTGTTTAATTATGTTTTGGACAGAAATATGGACGTTATTTGTGATGTATGCTTTGACTGCTCTTAATATCTTGCCAGAACTGCTAATTTGTATGTCTCTTGTTCTTTGATATGAAACAACTCTGCAACGCCTTTGATATCTGCTGATAAATCCATGGTTTTTATGGCAGGATGCTCATGATGGCTGGTGACTTTTTCGCTCCAACTTCAACTTACTCTTCTTTAGAATTGTGTCGGTATTTCCATGAGAATGAAAGTGGTATCAGGATAGTTTTTTTCTCATCAAATCAGCATCCATGCTTACTTGCTCCTGCCGACATCTTTTTCAATCCAGTGGTCAGGATTTGAGAACCGCACCCAAGACCTAAAGCTTCCAATTAATGATGGTAAGAAGGAAGGACTCTGTTGTGTCAACAAAACTGCCATGTGAAAGCACGACATATGGGATGCTACGAGAAGCTCTAGATTTCACATTTTCGTTTCTTCTTTTTAGAACTAGAACTTATTGTTTCAAAAACTTTATGAATGTAAATGATACATTACTCATGTAATCACTTTTCTCTTTGTTATTTTCCTTTTGCAGGTCAATTGATTGAAGGTGAACATTGCTGTTGTTCGATGATGGTGCCAGGTTTGATGCTCAACTCTTGTTGGATGTAGACAGAGTAGCCTCTTGCTTGGTAAGCCATGGACTGTGCTTGTGGAAAACTTTTTGTGAAGTTCCTATTTAAATTTATACTGATAATTCTCTTTATAGGATTGTTCACAACACTATGCCGTTATTCACTTCATTCCAAATCTTCGGCAGCGTTGCAGCAAGCACTCGAACCAAAGCAACAACAATACTCTGATATGAAGACGTACAAATGATTCCACGCGATGCACCATCCAAACATGGTTGTAATATTAGTAGCTTCACCAAACCGCAATCCTTCGAATCAAGCTTCTCAATAACGCGTCTAGATCACTCTGCATCCTTAGATTGCCTTCATATTTTTCTTCTGTGATTTTAATTGCTTCTTTTAAAGTCTTCGACACAGCTAACGGGTGTAGAAATTGTACTCCAGGGTTTGAAAACTTGTTAAAGTAGTGTTGTACTAACGGTTACATGATGAAGAGGAGGCTTGCACTTGGTATATATATTCTTTTGAATGAAAATTGTTATCTTTCTTGTTGCATGCCTCTGCTTCATGGGAAAAGGTAATGCTGCGATACTTTTTCTTGATCAAAACTTTATAGGGTACGACAGACGAGGATGAGGAAAGGTCACATCATTGGTCAGTATTGATCAAGCAATTGCTGCGATTATCCACTGCCGCCTTGACTGTATCTGAACCGCTTTACATTTAGTGTTGGACAAAATAACCACGGCTTTCCGTTTACTAACAGAGTTGTTATTTGTTGCAGGAGTAGCAATTTATGGAAACGCTATTGGCAATCATGACTGCTACTGCTTTGGTGGTATCCTGCAATTATATGGATGTTGTTGGCTTGCTAGTAGGATTTTTATTTTCATGCATTGTTTGAAACCTGTACCTTTGTGATGACATTGATGTAAACATTGTACCAATGTGAGCTTTTGTAAATAAAATTTCAATTTGTACCATCATATGTTGAAACTCAACGGTCTTGAATTTTTAGAATTGAAACAAATGCAAGCCATGCGAATAGGATCATAAAACTTCATTCGAATTGATTTGTTGCTAAGCTTTAATGAACATGAAGATGGGAACAGGAGTAGCCCTGGGCTATAGTGACACAAAGTTGGTGTGAAGATCAACAAAACTCAGTCTTACAGCTTATAATCCATGGTTGAATCCTTTGAATTTGAACCTTAAGGCATGGATTTTACATTTAAGCCTAACCTTTGAAACCTTGATGAATTTTAAAATCTTTTGTATTTGGAATTAATTCTCAAATTTTAACATAAAGGTATGAACTTCATACTAAACCTATGATGAAATCTTTGAGGAATCTCTTGCATTTTAAGTCTTAAAGCAACTTACGTGAAAATCCTAAAAACTTCTCATCTCTTGAATTTGGATTTTAGAACAAATGAGGCTAGCATTTTACTTTGGGGATTTATTAAAACTTGATCAAATATTCTTATCCATATCCACAACTTCAAACTAAATATGAACTTCAATCTCTTAAAACTAACAAATGATAAGCTTTGCTATTCTTCAGAATCAAAAGGTGATTTTGGTACACGACTCGCTCCCTTCCTTGGGGAGACTTTGAGAAATCTTAGGTAGAAATAACCTTGCACTGATTACAATTCCATCAGAATGGGGGCATATCCTCCTTTTGCATCCACGAGTGTTCGTTATGACCCGTAGGGACTAATAGGTGTACACATAAAGTCTTCCTGATTGTTTTTTGAGCATTCCGCACCAATCTAATTTCACGAGACGAAACAAATGAACAGTTAAAACGGTTAGTTCATGCATCGATGATCGACCTAATATGGTATGCAAAAGATCAATGAATCTAAAGCGGAAAATTTGGGGTATGACAGTCTCTTTTGGGGTTGTTACCTTCATCTTTGTTAAGATATATGATTCTTGATTGTAACCATTTGTATCTATTTTATCTTTTCTTATTGTGATATGCATGCATGCTTGGTTGTAACCATTTGTATCCATTTAATCCTTGCTTATTGTAATATGCATGCTTGCTTGGTGGTAACCTTTTTTCTTCTTGCTTAAATGTTTATTGCTTTGTTAAGTATTTCTTCCCCATGTGATGGAACTTTTTAGTTCTCATCCAAGTTGCCTTATCTCTCTCCTTCCAAAGGAAAAGTCTCTCCATTGACCCTTGTGTCATGGATAATTCATTACCCATTCCCTTAGACTTTGCTTTTAGTCTAAAAAACCTACCTTTGCTAGGAGTGTTCTTCAACTAGAACCCTAGGATAGAGTTTGTAAACTCTATGTTAGAATCATAGTAATGATTATTTACTTACCTCTTGAGTGTTATAACATAGATTTAGAGAGTTTTGTTAAACTCTACACAAGAATTGTAATGTTTGTTCCCCTTTGAAACTTGATCATAATCAAGAGTTCTTCATCCCTAGTAAGGTGAACTACGATTGCTCTGATTCTTTCCTAGTTAGGATACGTAGGCAGAGGACGCGATGTCTTTGCGAGCAAGCTTAGAAACTATCTTTAGGTTTTAACTTACACCTTTTACTCAATCCCAATCATCAGCAAACATATACCAAACTTGGTATGCAAGCAAACAAAAGGTTCTTGTAGAGTACTACAGGTGTTTAGAATGTGAGATACCTACCCTATGCATAACCAACCCCCGATCCCCGAATCTCTTAGCGTTGTTGTTACATCGCGAAAAGGGTTTTTCTTTCTTTAGACCTTTCCTTTGGATAATTTAAAGTCCGGTTGTGAATTCAAGAATTAAAGATTCAAGTTAATCAATAGCTTCGTATCACGATTCTCACCGCAACAGAAATGACGACTTCACTGGGGAAATACTTAACTTGAGGGTTTAGCCTATTTTGTTTAATTGCATGCTATATTTGTAAATATTTGCTTAACATGTATATTTGTCAATATATTTGTTTGTATGTTGGGTATTGGGTGCTTTGAGTGGTGAGACGGTCCTATACCCGAACTCGAGTGCACTTATGATAGGATGGTGGTATATTCAAGAAGGCTTATAGGGAGTTGATTCCCGACCAAGCTAACTTTAGAAACCACCGCTCAGTGTAGGCCATCTTGAGAGTTTAGAATTGTTGATCGAGTATTCGTGAAAATAATGCTACTTTCGACGAAGGAGCCCGTGGCACTGTGGACTTTTAGAATACATTCTACCCCACTTTGGCCTTATTAGGATGTAGTGCGATGGCTATAAGGAAGTATTTCCGAAATAGTTGATACGCGATACTACACTTGGACGAGACTCTCTTGAGAATATTATCGATTACCAAGTGATTTGGGAAGTTGATAATATCCGAAAGATGAGTTGATGACTCTGGGAACTCTGTAGAACCTGTTCGGCAGGTACAAATTAATCCATAGTGCAAATCCTTGGGGATGAGTAGACCTTGGATTCACGCTCGTCCTTTAAACCTAGGCTTGTGTTGTATGCATATGTGTGATCTTTGCATTTTCCTGTGTTTGTGCATTTTGCATTCATAAACATCATATCATATGGTTTCATGGAACTCAGACTTTTTTGTTTATAAACGTCAGAGGCGTTATGAATAGTGAAAGAAAGAAAGCTTTGAAGTACACTTACAAGGGTTTTAACCTAGATGACTTGAGAAGGTTGAGCACCTTGGTGATAGATCCAGAGGGGTTCCAAAGCAGGTATGGGAAGCTGTTGTTACTATTGAAGATAAAGATGGATAGTGGACTCCTTTCTACACTTCTCCAGTTCTATGACCCGCTCTACCATTATTTCACCTTTCCCGATTATCAGCTAGTGCCCACACTAGAAGAATACTCTCATTTGGTTGGATTGCCCATTCTTGAAAAGTCTCCTTTTCCGATCATGGAAGAAGACCCTAAGGAGTAAGATATTGCCAAGGCTACACGTTTAGGGTTGGTTGATATTAAAAAGAACCTGATTACAAAAGGAGGTGTTTTTGGGTTAAATGCAGAGTTCTTGGTCGAGAAAGCTCAATATTATGCGGATCATTTAAGCATGGATGCATTCGAGGCTATCCTTGACTTGCTCATTTATGGCATCTTTCTATTCCCTAGCTTCGAGAATTTTTTGGACCTCAATGCCATTAAAATTTTCTTGAAGAAGAATCATGTGCCTACCTTGCTAGTAGATGCATATCATTCTGTTCATCTGAGGAACTTTCATAATGGAGGGATGATTACATGTTGCGCTCCTTTGTTATACAAATGGTTCACTTCACACTTGCCCAAAGCTAACGCTTTTTGGGATCCGAAGAAAGGATGGCGGTCACAAAAGATCATGGCTCTCACTCACTCCGATATTGATTGGTATAGTCGTGACTATGATGGGACAATGATCATTAACAATTGTGGGGATTTCGGTAATGTACCTCTTCTCAGTGCTAATGGAGGAATCAGTTACAGTCCAGTCCTCGCCCGTCGGCAATTGGGATACCCTTTGAAGGACAAGCCCAATGGTGTTCAGGTGGAAAGCATTTTCTTCAAAGAAGAAAAGGATAGTCAAGAGCTAAAAGAGAAGATTCTAGAAGCTTGGAAGCATCTGCACAAGAAAGGGAAAAAGGATCTTAGAAGACTCAACTGTGTCTCTTTGGAACCTTACCTCCAATGGGTTCGAAAGAGGGATATCACACTAAGTATGCCTTATCCTAAACAAGAGCCTATGACTTTAAAGGAAGAACGTCCCTTGGTCTTCATGTCTGAAGAAGAAAAGTTGAAAATCGCTTTAGTCAAAGCACGACAAATCGAAGACGCTTGGAAGCACAAGTATCAAGTGGTCGTTGAAGAGAATGTAGAGCTCCAGAAACAACTCCAGTTTAAAGACGAAGAAGTACTCTCTTGTAAGAAGAGGAAAGCACAAGGAGAACCTTCTAATCCTCAGTCTACTCCGTGGAAGTTAATTGTGGACAAGCTCATTCTTGAGAAGGCTCAGATGGAAAAAGAAATCGAGAAGCTCAACATGAGGCTGCTAGGGGAACCTTCTTAGGATTCATTAGCTGTTGTTTATGTTTAAAACTCTTGTAAGAGGTAACAATATTTTGTAATCCCATCTTGTTGATCAATGAATAAACGACTTTTGATGTTCGTAAATGTCTGAGTTCCATGACACCATGTGCATTTGCATTTGCATTTTTTCTAACCATTCAAGGAAATTCAAACTTTTCTTTTTGTAGACGACAACATGGTGAGAAGAGACATGCTTCCTTTCCCGGATTTGAGGTTGGGCCGTCTTAGGATGTTGGCAAGACTTGTCAGAAACCCTGCCGCCTTCATTGCCAAATATGGATATCTCCTACCACTAATAAGTGCTCAAGTCAACGAGCCCATGTTTCAGGCTCTGGTCGAGTTTTATTCTCCAACCTACCACTGCTTCGTCTTCCCAGACTTTCAGCTGCTTCTGACCATAGAGGAGTATACTAACTATCTGAAGATTCCATGGACTTTCACGCTTCTTTATGGGAAACCAAAGAGAAGAGATTTGGCCAAAGCCCTACATCTCAAGCCAGAGGATTTACCACCTATGAGAGCAAAGGGATGATATTACGGAATGGAAGTAGGACCGCTAATGGAGATGGCCAAATATCATTATGAAAATAGGAATTTGGGCATCTTTGAAGCAATTTTGGCATTCCTAATATATGGGATGTATCTCTTCCCAAGCCGTTATGACTTCATCAGTGAGGAGGCGGTCTGTCTCTTCATCATCAAGAATCCAGTAAACGAGATACTGGCAGATACATATGTGGTTATCCACCGCTTCATCTTATACGATCTCAGGCAGTTTCCATGCTGCCTCGCACTGCTTGACAGGTGGTTTACCTCTCATCTACCCAGGACTCATGTCCTTTGGAGACTTCCCAGCAAGAGCGCATGGATTT